TTCTATAAATAGCATTTGGGACAAAAATGAGACTAACACAAAGGGCATGATAGCGAGGGTGTTTGGTAGACACGGTAAGCTATCATCCAGTGATATTGAGGGACTAGTCTCAATACGCGAGGGTTTTTGTCAAGCTAATGCAAGACAAAGCAAAAAAGAACTAACAAGCCAGGCTGAGTATGCTCAGCTAAATAGATACTTAGGAATTCCTTCCTTATGCTCATCCGGCCAAGTACAGATGCTAAGCCCAATTTACTAACACTTGAACAAGAGGGGCTAACAAAGGGTCCAACAATACCGACCTCCTGCCGTCATGGCAGTAAGGAAAGAGTGTCCGTAAGGACTAGCCGACAGGTAACTTTCGATACCCGAAGTCATATTCATGACAACAAGTTTATATATTTATGGTGGGTTGGAGTTAATGTTTATGAGAAAACAATTCTAAGACTATAGACTTGGTTGGTATAGTGGTTTACTTATTTTCCATATTGGGGGACTCTAGTTATTTATCAAGTGAGCAAATATTAACATTGATCCTTTTTATTAATTTTCTTTCTATTATAGATGAGTTCTAAAACAATTGCTACCTAAATTCCAACAATAAATCTTATTAAGAATTACTATGCGATGTGGCTAGCAAAAATAGGCGGCTCTAGACATGTATCTCTATTTAAAGCTTGTTGGAATGACTTGGTCATTTTTATCTTACAATAAGCCTTTATGCATGCTTATATAAAAGGTTAGGTTATAAGAAATAAATTGAATCTTGAGGATTTGGTGGCACACTTATCTATTACAATATTGATACAACTTCATAGTCACAAGCTCACTAAGATGATAGGATCAACTTTAGATGATCTTGGAATTTGATCTATAATAAAACCCTTGAATCTTTGAATCTTTCAAAAGGAAATGATGAGCAAGTGAATCGATGCAACTAACAGATTTGTACCATCCCAAATATGAGTATGTTACTAGAGAACAAAGAGGACCAATGCTTCTAAGCAACCACAAGCTTAAGTGCTTCCAAGTCAAAGAACAAAAGTTTTATAAGATTGAGTGGGGTATATGTTAATCTGGAGTAAAATCTACAATCAAGTATCTTGTCTAGATTGGAGGAAAATTATGTGGTAAATACATTACCATAGGAACCCTATGCACTTTAGCACCTTATTTTTGGGGATAACAACAATATGGTCATCCTCTATAATCAGTTCATATGGTTCTATCCAATAAAAGTTCTACACATATAGCACAAATTATCCAAAAACCAAAACATACTTAGCCAATTGAAAAGAAAGTGAATTTGACAAATTTGGAGCTTTAGACTTTGGTTGAAGTAGGCTTTAAATTTGAAGAGAACACTTTATAGTGCACTATTTCCAAAAACAAAAAACAAAAAATGTGTTGGATTTATCACCTTGCAATATCTGAACATAAGGTGTTCATGACATTTAAAAAGAATTAGATATTGGTATTGTATTCAAATTTAATATAAGATAAATAATTTTTTATTTATAAATTACTTCTAAAATAACATATGACATTTCTTATAATAGGGATTTAATGTAATAATAATCAATTTAATATAAATATAAATTATAAATTAGAGGATGCTTACTTAAATAACTAGTATAAATACTAATTATTAAATATTAAAATAATAATTTTTTCTGTAAATGATTTGATAAGGCAAAACCTCTATTAAATAGCAAGTATTGCTACTAAGATTAGATACTGGTAGTTTACACAAATCTAAATATTTTTAAAATTATAAAATCTTAACAAAATATTTTCTTAGTGTGCTAGAATATTTTTAAAATATTCTTGTCAACGGCAATAGCTCCATTGACATGGCTCCCTGTATTGGCAGATCCCCCACAGCTATAGTAGATACTTATAACTGAAGAACCCCACAGCTGTGGTAAATGCCTATAACTGAAGAACCAACAACCAACATCAATTCCGCATAAATGAACTCATCCTCAAAAACTGCCTCAGCATCCTCCACAACAAGTGTATCACAAACTCTAGCCTCATGATCATCCACGTCAAAACTTGCATGCAATGCATCCAAACTCTTTGTGACCACTGTCTGGTCCTCTGTGGGTGTCTCCTGTGACTCCTCAAGTGGTGCTAGAATCGAGAAAGAGGCTGGACAAGTCTCCAGCTCACTGGATTTCTCAGCCTATTGGGACTGAGCAACCCTTGTTCAACCACTCTCTTCTAAGTGAGCAGCAAAATCCAGTCGCCTCTAGTGAATTTTCTTTTCTGCTTTGTTCTTTCACTTTTCTTCTTCTTTTTCAGATCACGTGGCTTCATTTGAGTTGGGGTTTCCAGTCTTGAGGTTGCACTAATCTTGCTCATTCCTGAAACTCATGCTTTCTCCAAGTTTTTCTCAAGGTTCTAAATTTTCATTCCATACTTTCACCATTCAGTCACTTCCAAGGGCGTTGCCCATTCTGATACCCTGATTACTTTCATAACTTTTTCAGGTTTCACTTCACACCATCTTTGGGATACAAGGCCGTGACATTCTTCTCAACATGCAGCGACAAACATCACCACAACAGGACAAGCCTGTTGCAAGTTCTCTTTGCAACCAGGATGCACTATCACTTTTGGAGCATCTTTCCTCTTTGGACCTGGGTATTCTGTTAGCTACAAACACCAGTCCATGTTCTTGATCCAGACTGGCTTACATCGCTCTCTTTGGCTCCTATGGCTCTGTGGATATTGCCATCTCGTTGCCGTGGCATTTTCGAAGGAGTTAGTCATAACTTACATTCCTTATGGCCACTGTTTGGGCACCCAAACAAAAGAGAGGCTCAAGGGTGTGCATGCTCGAGTTTGATGGCTTCTCTCATCCCACTTCCAGGCATGACAACTCTTTTGCTCTGAAATCTATCTCATCGCTTCCACACATCCAAATGCTGCTCCGTACGTCTCCAGCCCAGGACGAGCTACGAAAAAGAATATCAATATGTTAGCAGCAGCTTGGGGAAAATTAGCGCACACTGGATGCTAGTCATCCCTGGCTTCGAACCCAAGCTACCGGATAGAGAGCTTACACAGCTTTGCTTAACAGCAACGAAATTCACTTGGGCATTCACATTTACTTTGATTATTTACGTCTGCTTTGATTGCCCTTTGCATAGATTTCCATGCCGACGATGTTGTAGATGGCGGGAACTGGAGCAAGCACCGCCTGGTATGCATATGGCAGGTACTCAGTTGCACCGACGGCATCAGAGATGGAGTCCAAGAACCACTCGCTGTGAGCCGATGCTAGAACGTTGTTAACCATAATGTTGCCGGATAGAGTGAGTGGGTTGTAGAGACCGAGCTTCTCAACCTTGGAGATTTCTGGAAGTATCAAATTGTTAATAGAAATGGAAGTTCTTTCTTTCCTTACCAGTGATTTGGGATGATTCCCAGAGTCCTCAGCTCTCTTGTACACGAGGTTTCCCTGATGTCAACAGGAACAAAGTGGCCAGCAGTGGGCTCCAGCATGTTTGAAGCGCTGTGCACTTGGAAAAACTCGGAAATGGCGTCGGCATCCTTGTGGCCGAATGCATACACATCGGAGAAAGCATTCTTGCCCAGCAACCTGCACAATTTGTGCATATTTATTAAAGTCCAAAGTCTAGCAAATATTTACTTTGTCCCCAACACTGAGCTCCTTCATGAACTTAAATTCCCCTGTATACAGCTGAACAGTTGCATCTACTGTGATAGTTTGGAAGTTAGATGGAGAAATATTTCTTGGAAGTCCCACCTGGGAAGCATCCAGTGTTATTCTGATTATTAGTTGCCACTGCAATACTTGCAGCAAGGGCAATAAAAGAGAAAAGGAAGAGGATAGCTCTGGCTTGAGCCATTTAGAACGAAACATCACAAACTAAAATTGAAGTTTGCAATAACACTGTAAAACAGGTGTTAAAACAGTAGCAAAAAAAGCATATGATAGACACGAAATTTCAAACAGGACGTATCATTGAAAATATGCTCTATCATATTGAACAAATAGTTGGCTGGCTAAACAAGAAGAAATCAGTTTTAACTTTTCATTTACTTACATGAACATAACATTGCGCCACGGATCCAATTTGTTCTATACACATAACATGGATTCCAAATCCTCGTACGTTTCGTTCAACGCTTTGGTGATTGCTGTTGAGCTTCAACGAGAACTTCTATTCTCTGGAAAACATGAAAAAGATAGCACAAGAACATGTGATATCAGAAGAAAACTTGCATGCAAATTAACCTTGAGAGAGTTTCTTATGTCCTCAAGCTTCTCGAAGAGCTTCTCGCTGCTGTTGTCACTGTAGCTATAGCCAGCTTCTTCTTTGAGAGGCAAATAGCCCATCTACAGAAAAAGAAGGAAAAAGAGTATGCATGAATTTTTTATACGCAAGTATACTAACCTGCCAGGAAGACAATCCAGTGCCTTGGCCCCAAGTCCAAGCACTCGATTTGCTCAAGGAAGGCTGGACAGGAAGGTCTTCCACGTCGTGATCATTGAGACGAGGCAGAGGCTTCAAACTGGAAGCAACCATCAGCACAACCTGAAAGAATGTTTGGTTTTGCTTCTTCGTTTTTTCCTAGAAGATAGTCCTTACTTTTCGGAAGAGCGTAGGATTTGCCAGTCCTTGAATCTGCACGTCGTCGCTCGGAGAAGGCTTGGATCTCCCGGCAATTTCGATCCTTAGAGATGAAAGGTTGAAAGCCGATTGCATGCATCCTGCGAAGAAAGTGAACGGGAATCACACTGTCTAAACCACGCACCGAGAACTTAGTTTGAAAGGTTTGAAAAATCCAACAAGCCGGAAGCTCTATCCTAGAATGAAAGTAAAGAAGAAAAACGAAACCTTGCTCGATGACAACGTCAGTCACGAGAGGTAGCATCAGGCATTTTTCCGTTCGATTCACTCCAAAACATGGAAACCAAGCTGGTCTCGAGACCTTAGAAACAAGCAAATGAAATTCAAGCTTATAAGTCGTAAGAAATAATACCTTGTAGACAATCGCATTGTCGGTCACATAGAGCTTTCGTGATCTAAAATCGCTCCTCATGATGGATCTCCTCACGGGTAAGTAGAGAAGCATAAAAATTCCCGCTCCCCAAGCGAGAACTAGCAGCAGCGAGATCAAGCACCATTGGACAGAGTCGTAGTTCACAAATCGGTCCTCCATCTCCTCGAATGAAGCCTTGTAAATGATCCTCCCGACCTGCGCGCTCTCCTCGTCGCCGTCCTGTACGGGATCATCGAGGAGCCGCGCCTCGCCCTGGATTTCCTCCTGGAGCAGCCTGTCGAGCGTCCCCATTCTCTCCAGATTCCAAAAACCCTAATAAGCATAGATAAATTTCCACTGAACCCATCGTGATTCGAACACGCAACCTTCTGATCTGGAGTCAGACGCGCTACCATTGCGCCACGGATCCATTTTACTTTACTTTTAAATGTAAAGAATATTCTCTTTTTAATTGAAAGCCCTAAAAATTACTATTCTGATCTGTAAACACAAATTAGAAGGCCTTTTGTCAGTGAAGGAGAGGCAACCTGGATAGAACACCAAGTCGGAAAAGAACGCTTTGCCAGTTTTCAGAATGTCTTCCACAGTCCGTGTGATCATATCCTTGCAATGGATCACAGGTTTACAGGCTCCCTGCCATCGGAACAAGTCCCTCAAGAAAGAAATATCATCGTCAGTGGAGTTCCCACCAAAGGACTCCCGAACTGTTAACCACAGGTGGAAATCAAGTGCGTCCAAGTTACGTGGATTGCTGTGGTCTACGAGCGCCTACAAGAAGAAGAAGATTAGAGGGTATCTAAGAAATAGGAAACCACAATGAGCCAAGTGTTTCACACACCTCTAACAAGCCGGAGTGGAAATCGATGATTCGCAAGTTAACATGGGCTCTAGAAGAAGGGAAATGCTGTCCAGATGGTGGAGGTGAAGGCCTGTAATTGTGGGCATGAGCTTGAAGAGGCTCACCAATTTATCGAGCTCCCAGTATCCAGCAATTTCCAAACTCTAGAGCTTGTCACATTTCCTGTTGAGCTTAAAGCAGGTGTTGATCTTCAGGACTTCCAGGCTCTCCGATTTGAAACTGAGGCAGAGGTCAACCTTGAGGATAGTCAACTGGGTGTCTAGGAAAATTTCGAAAATGGATCCCTGCCATATCCCCATTATCCTCCCCAACAAGAGGCTGCCACTTGACACCGTGAACCTGGACAGATGCTCAAGACCATGGACGCTGAGATCCTCAAGCAGCGGGCAAGCTGCGAGGAGCTCCTCGAGCACATTCTCGTGGATTGAAGAGCCGCAGGCGCCGGAGAGGCGATTCATTCACGCAACCTTCTGATCTGGAGTCAGACGCGCTACCATTGCGCCACGAATCCATTTTACTTGAACATATCCAAAACCAATATGGACGTGGTGATCCGAAATGAGCTCCGCGATTACCAGGAGGAGGAGGATTATCATGACTTGCCTCTGGAGCTGTGCTAAAATCTGCAAGAGAAAGACCATGCCTCGTGTGGTTTTCGAGCGAGGGGTGGTATACTGGCTCGCCACGAGTACCGTATCAGTGCTTGATGCTCCACGCTATTGGGCTTTTTCTACATTTATTATTACATCCCAGCTTAATTAATAACTTAGAATATATTCAAAGGGAAGTGGCAGTGCTTACATGGCTTTTGTATCTTTCCACTTCTGTCTGCATCCGTCCGACTGTGTTCTTTCTCGTTTTCTGACAGGCACTTCTTGACTAACACACTCCCATTCGACTACAGCTTATTCTTATTCTTGTTATGGAGACGGTGCAACACCTGATAAGGTAATGCATCCATCTGGAAGTGAGTTGGAGATGCAAATGTAAGATTCCCCTAAACCCCAAAATGGGCTTTTCTGGCAGCTCTCGATCGTTTCAAACTAGCTGCACACACTGATTTCTACAGGGTGCTTTGAGGCTCACCAGCACCACATTTTCAAGCAATTCAGCAAAGCAATTTTATTCTTGTCTACGCCTTCACAGATGGGCTTTCTTGGTAGCAAACTCCACAATTGTGCACCCTGTAGAATCCCAGCTCCTCTTGCTCACTTTACTTTGCAGCCACTCAAAACCCTTGAGAAATCTACTCCTTTGGTCTCAAGAAGGAGACACTGGTTATAGATTGCAATTGAGGGTTTCCTCTGAGCAGCAAACACCCCCACGAAGAGCAGCAAGCGCTGCCAAATCATTGCCACATAGGTGGAGAGGACGATCTAATTTGAATATTCTTCTTTTAACTGGGTGAATTTCAACGAAGAACCCTAAATATTTTCCCACTATGATGCGAGCTATGGTGTTTGAAGCTCCTGGAAGCGCTCTCAAGCTCACGGAGCTCCAGATTCCAGAGTCTCGCGACGGCCAGGTCCGCGTCAAGGTCTCGGCGTGCGCTGTTTGCCGCACGGATCTTCATGTGGTATGCGCCAGGCTTTGATTTCCTTCCAAGAATCGCCGCGCAGGGGAGCCCAATCTTCCGATAATCCCTGGTCACGAAATCGTGGGACTGGTGGATAAGATCGGGCGAGGCGTGGATTCCTTGCTGTTTTCAATTGGAGCTAGAGTGGGAATTCCTTGGCCGGGAAGAACTTGCGGGAGCTGCAGCTACTGTGTGGATGGAGCTGAGAATTTGTGTGACGAGCCAGGCTTCACAGGTGAGAAAGCTTTCAAGTTCTTTATTCTTCGTTTCCAGTTCTTCTTTGCATGGAAAAAGATTCTTTCTTGCAGGCTATAGCCTAGACGATCGATGGTGGCTATGCCGAGTACGCTGTTGCGAACAGTGCCTACTGCTTCTCCCTTCCGGAGAATTACCCGGACGTGAAAGCCTCTCTCCACTCCTTCGCGCCGATCTCATCGGCTATCGATCGCTCAGGATGGATTCACGCCTGGAATGCGCAAACCCCGCAAGTTTGGAATCTATGGATTTGGAGCTGCTGCTCACATCGCTGCTCAGGTACACCGAGCTCTTCCACCTCTCTCGAATCGTACAAAAGCTTTGGATCTTCCAGGTGTTGAGACACGAAGGCCATGAAGTGTATGGTTTCACTCGACCGGGTGACGTAGAGGCGCAAGCTTTTGCTCGAAAAGTTGGAGCCACTTGGTCGGGCGATTCCACCGCGTCGCCGCCACAACTCTTGGACGCCGCCATCATCTTTGCTTCGGTGGGATCGCTGGTACCGCTCGCTCTGGCAGCCATTCGCAAGGGCGGGGTGGTGGTTTGCGGCGGGATTTACAGTCTCCATACGCGGCGAACTGGGGCGAGAGGAGAGCGGTGTCGGTCGAATCTCACACGCTTGGATGCCAACGAGTTCTTGCGAGTGGCTTCGAGCATGGAGATCAAAATGGAGACAGTGGAGTTTAGATTGGAGGAAGCCCTGCGAGCTTTGAGAGAAGGGAAGCTCAATGGAGCAGCAGTTCTTGGTCCAGGGATCTAGGTGAAAGTAACAAGTTGGGCATTTGGTCTAGTGGTATGATTCTCGCTTAGGGTGCGAGAGGTCCCGAGTTCAATTCTCGGAATGCCCCAGCTATGTGGTTTCATGTTTTTGCTTTAATTCAAATTAAATTCTAGTGGATCATTTAGCCAGTTCTTTACGGCTTTAAGTTGACATGATCTTTCTTATTCTTTGTTATTTGCCTTTGGGATGTTTAGGCCTTGGAGGCCAGCACAAGTCCGGCGCCGGCGATTCCAACCGTGAGAGCAATGCTTCCTCCATACTTGGTTCCAAACTCAGCAACGTTGGCGATGGAATCGATGGCGCCATAGCCCTTTGCATAGATCTCCTTGCCGACGATGTTGTAGATGGCACGAACTGGAGCAAGCAAGGCCTGGTATGCGTATGGGAGGTACTCGGTTGCGCCGACGGCATCAAAGATGGAGTCCAGGAACCACTCGCTGTGAGCTGAAGCTAGAACGTTGTTAACCATGATGTTGCCGGAGAGAGTGAGTGGGTTGTAGAGACCCAGCTTCTCAACCTTTGAGATTTCTGTGGAATGTAAACAAGTGTCAAAAAAGTAAAATGATATCATGAAATTTGTACCCGTGATTTGAGATGATTCCCACAGAGAATCTCCAACCTTGAGATCCTCAGCTCTCTTGTACACGAGCTTTCCATTGACATCAACAGGAACAAAGTGGCCTGCAGTGAGTTCCAACATGTTTGCGCCACTGTGCACTTGCACAAACTCCGAAATGGCATCGGCATCCTTGTGGCCGAATGCGTACACATCAGAGAAAAGATTCTTGCCCACTGCAACCTGAGAAACACACCTCACCAATTTCTAGAAGCTGCAATGAGGTCAATTCACCTTGTCTCCAACACTGAGCTCCCTCATGAACTTAAATTCCCCAGTGTACATCTGCACAGTTGCATCCCCTGTGATAGTTTGGAATTTAAATAGCTATCATGTGGAGAAATATTTCTTGAGAAAGTCCTACCTGGGAAGCATCCAGTGTTATTCTGATTATTGGTTGCCACTGCAATGCTTGCAGCAAGGGCAATGAAAGAGTAAAAGAAGAGTAGAGCCTTGGCTTGAGCCATTAGAGCTATACTTCTAAAATTTATCTAATAAGCTAGAGAACCCTTGAGATGTTTTGTTACCGCTTCACAGCAGAGGTTTCTCTTATAGCACCAAGCAAAGCATATGACATGCAGTTTCTTTGTGCACCAACTTTTCAAAGAATTCCCGAGAAGTTAGTTGGCAACAAACTCTGGTACTTAGGATAGAGATTAAGCTCTCGACTGTATCAATATACACACATGCTTTCTGGAGGACGAATTATTGAGAAAACAAAATCGTCCTTATCGATCTGTCTTGGAAAAACACAACAATTGCGTAGATTCCACTGAGAGCATCCATGATTCTTCTCCCACTCACCCTGTAAATTGACCAAATAGCAAAAAATGGAATCGCATTACCCCGTTGCTGCCCCACCGCGAGATGCCACGAGCATTTTAAATATATATACGTAAATCCATTCTCCAGGGAGCGAGCAAGGAAGATGGAGGCCACGAACCTTAGTAGCAGCAAGGGCGACGATCACGAGGGATTCCTCCTCAAGCTTCGATCGAGGCTAGAAAAGTAAGAACGAGTAAAAAAAGAAGGAAAACGATAGAGAAAAGCTGACGATACCTTGTTTTCTACCACAGCGTCGGAGTTGAGCTCCCAGAGGTTGAGGTGAGGTTCCATGGCTTGGAGCTCAGCGTCGATGTTTACACCAGGAGCAGCCGAGCGATCTCCAGCATTGCAAACTCTTTCGTCAACACCGTCCAGGTTGGTCTCTTCTTCAAGTTGATGGCCTGTTTTTGACAAGCTTTCTAGAGCTTCCTGAGCTTGCTCCATGTCCTGCCATCGAACAAGCAATCGATTAACATCCTACACAGCGTCGATGGTGTTGTCAGACCTTCCAGGTTGATAACGAGAGGAGTTCTTCTCTCTTTCTTTACTGTTTCATCTCATGCTTGGTTCCAAGGCTGACGCTGCTGCTTGGTCCACCCGCATCTGGCAAGACAAGCTTACTCTTAGCGCTCGCCAATAAGATCCAATGCAAGGGAGAGGTGACTTACAATGGATGCACTCACGACGAATTCGCCCTCCGGAAAGAGATCGCGTACATCAGCCAGCAAGACTTGCATCTATCCGAGCTTACAGTTCGAGAAACACTGAACTTCGCAGTGCGATGCCAAGGCGCCGGTCACCAAGGAGGTAAGAAAACTTTCCTCGAGGAATCTTGGCCTTGATACGACTCTCTGCTTGCACACAAACAGAGATTTTTAAAGAAGTCGAGAAAAGAGAAAAGGCAGCAGGAATCATACCCGATCCAGACGTTGAAGCTTTCATGAGAGTGAGATTTCCTTTCTCGAGGAGTCGTTTATGTTAACGAAATCTCTTGTGGACCAGGCTGCTGCTGGTGACGATGCAAAGCCCAGCATCATGTCCGAATACATGATCCAGGTTTGTTCTGTCCATTATAACGCTTCCAAGGTTCTCAAACTCGAGCGAGATATGGAATCAGGTTCTTGGCATGGACACTTGCGCCGATACAATCGTAGGCAATGCTCTTCAGCGAGGAATATCTGGAGGACAGAAAAGAAGACTCACAGCAGGTCAGCATCACCAATATCCAAAAACTTTAATATTAACCATGAACAATCACTTACAGGAGAAGTGCTGGCTGGTCCCGCAAGAATTTTGTTCATGGATGAGATTTCTACGGGACTGGACAGCTCCACCACGTACCGAATTATCAGTTTCCTGCAGCAAACCGTGAAAGCTTTGAGCAAAACGATGCTGATCTCGCTGCTGCAACCACCCCCAGAGGTTTTCGAGCTGTTTGACGATCTTATACTTCTTGCGGAAGGACATGTAGTATACCATGGAACTCGAGAAGGTGTTCTACAGTTTCTTGAGGCCCAAGGCTTCAAATGTCCTGCAAGAAAAGGAGTAGCAGATTATTTACAAGAGGTCAGTAGTATACAACACATTCATGTTCCTCTAAAGTCTTGGGAAATGCAGGTAGTGTCAAGAAAAGATCAAAAAGGTTATTGGTGCGGTGATAAAGAAGCTTACCGGTTTGTATCGGGAAAAGATTTTGCTGCTGCTTTTCAACGATACCGGGCTGATGAATTCACGCTCAAGGACTTGAAGAAAGTTTATCCTGCAGGGAAAAAGCAACCAAGGATGAGTTCTTGGAAGCTGTTTCAGGCCTGCTGCTCAAGAGAAATCATACTGATAAAACGTAATCTCTACGTTCATGTGACTAGCAACGTAATTCAGGTGAGACTCACCTTTTTAATAAAAAAGAAACCAACACCATTATTTTTTAAAGGGCTCGATTATAGCGGTGATTGTCTCGACCATATTCCTGCGAACAACAATGCATCATGAGACCGTCCAAGATGCAAACAAATTTATGGGTGTTCTGTTCTACATGATCATGAATATCATGTACCGTGGATTACCTGAGATGACACTCACAATCACGAGACTTCAAGCCTTTTACAAGCAACGAGATTCGCAGTTTTATCCCGCTTGGTCTTGGGCATTGCCAACGATATTTTTCAGGATCCCGATGAGTTTCATGGACGTGGCAATCTGGACCTGCATTACATACTGGGGAGTTGGGTTTGCTCCCGAGTTTACCAGGTAAGTCAGTTTCCTATGGTCCTAAAGTGCCGGATAAAGAGACTACTCACAGATTTTTCAAGCACTTTGTGCTACTGTTCTTGGTGAACCAAGCTTCGTTCGCCATGTTTCGGTGCATTGGAGCCATCGCTCGAAGTCCAACAATTACGAGTACGTTCGGTTTCTTCTTCTTCATAACGACGGTGGCAAATGGAGGCTATTTGAAATCAAGAGGTACTTCCTGCAAGAAAACTAAAGGTTAGTATTTAAGAAACGACTCTCCAGAAAACATCCAACCATGGTGGCTATGGAGCTACTGGACATCTCCGTACATGTATGGCCAGAACGCTTTAGCTGTCAATGAGTTCTATGCGCAACGGTGGAGCAAGGTACGAAAGCACCAATCTACAATGGATAATTGTCTGAAAACACATGCAGCCAACATTTGGAACTGGAACTTCACACACAGTTGGGGAGGTTTTGCTAAAGACCCGAGGAATGTTTCCAAATCCAGAATGGTACTGGATTGGACTCGCAGGACTGGTTATCTCGATACTGGTGTTCAATGCACTCTACGTTCTAGCACTTACATACCTTAACCGTAAGTGATAGACGGACAAGTTATTGGTGGCGAGAAAACTTACCAGGTCTTGTGACAGCTCTGAGAAAACCTTGCACCGCAATTTACAGCAACAGTAGCGAGGCAACTGCAAGAAAAAAAGGTGAGTTGGTGACTTCAGCACAAAGGACATGAAAGCACAAAAAATACACTTACAACTTTTTTGCAGCTGAGGATATCGAAGATGGAGGTGTTGGAGAAGTTCTCCTACCTTCCTTGCCGTTGTCACTGGCTTTCCGGAACATCGTTTACGAAGTTGACTTGGTAAAGTTTTTCGTCTCGTCTCCTAGAGTGTATTCCTGACACTGATGCTCCAGGATAAGAAAAGCCATCCCAAGAGTGATACCAAGAGATTGCAGCTGCTACACAATGTAAGTGGAGCTCTCCGGCCAGGAGTTCTAACGGCACTCATCGGCGTGACTGGCGCTGGGAAGACTACACTGTTCGATGTTCTCGCCGGAAGAAAGACCGTGGGGTACGTCCGAGGAGAACTCAGCGTCTCTGGATACCCGAAAAACCACAAAACCTTCGCAAGAGTTTCTGGTTACTGTGAACAGGTTGACATCCATTCGCCTCATGTGACAGTCTACGAGTCGCTCGTCTTCTCTGCGTGGTTGCGTCTCCCACAAGACGTGAATCACGAAACCGTGCTGGTCCGTATGGGCTTTGTTTCATTCCCTTCCAGAGTTGACGATCTAAACTTTTGAGCAGAGGTTCGTCGAAGAAGTAATGGAGCTTGTGGAGCTTGACAGCATACGAAATGTCTCAGTAGGAGTTCCCGGTGTGTCTGGCCTCTCGACCGAGCAACGCAAGCGCCTGACGATTGCTGTAGAGCTCGTTGCAAATCCATCTATCCTGTTTATCGACGAACCAACCTCGGGTCTGGATGCTCGAGCGGCGGCCATAGTTATGAGAGCCATACGAAACACTGTCAACTCGAGCCGGACTGTTATCTGCACGATTCATCAACCGAGCATCGACATCTTTGAATCTTTCGACGAGGTACTTGCTTGTGATGCATTTAGGACCCCATCGCCAACTTCCTCTTCCTTCTTCGTTTCGGTGTAGCTCTTCCTCATGAAACGTGGAGGACAACTCATTTATGCCGGACCTCTTGGCAAAGAATCCTGTCACTTGATAGAGTACTTCGAGGTAGTATTCCGTTCTCTTTCTTGTCGCTGATAATCTTTTTTGTCTCCTACGTAAACCAGGCCATTCCCGGGATTCCAAAGATAAAGGACGGCCAGAATCCAGCAACCTGGGTGATGGAAGCTACCACTCAGTCGAGGGAAGAACTTCTCGGAATAAACTTAGTCGAGATCTACGAGAACTCACCACTCTACGGGTAAGCTTTCCCCCCCTTCGCCAGATTTCTTAACGCTTTCTTCCAGGAGAAACCAGAACCTCATAAGAGCGATCAGTGTCCCAGCTCCACAATCCCAAGACTTGCACTTCCGGACTACATACTCCAAGCCATTCCTGGAGCAGTTCTACACCTGTTTGTGGAAGCAGCACCGTTCATACTGGCGAAATCCAATCTACTTCTACTCCCGGATGTTCTATGGAGTCGTCGTTGGCTTTCTACTCGGAACTATGTTCTGGAACTCTGGAAAGGAGCTGTAAGCCACACCACCTTTTCTGCTCAGACTTACCAGACTTTCCTCGCAGAAAAACCGAGCAGGACATCTTCAACTTGCTCGGGGCCATGTACACTTCCACAATCTACGTTGGCATCTCGGACTCTATCAGCGTCCAGCCGCAAGTCATCATGGAGCGAGAAGTTTTCTACCGAGAAGTAGCCGCTGGAATGTATTCTCCACACGCCTTTGCTCTCTCACAGGTATAAAAAAACTCCATCCGACCATTCCCTGGATCTAAAATTCGAACTTCCACTCCAGGTGATCATCGAAGTCCCCTATATACTCCTCCAAGCAGCATCCCAGAGCCTCCTGGTCTATCTCCTCGTCGGCCTCCAATGGACACCAGCAAAGTTCTTCTACTTCGTGTTCTTCATCTTTGGTTCCTGCCTAAACTACACGCTGTTTGGAATGCTTGGTGTAGCCATGACGTCCAATTTCCAAATGGCCGTGCTCACGCAAGGAGCTCTCGTCCCCTGGAACATCTTCTCCGGCATTATCATCCCTCTGGCTGTAAGTTGATCGATCGCGAGCTATCTATCCGATCCAGTTCCATCTTCTCCCTGTGACTATCCATCTATCCATCTCTAGTTCCATCTTCTTGGAGCTCCATCCCTGTGACTATCCAAAGATCTAGTTCCATCTTCTTAGAGTTCCATCCCTGTGACTATCCATCTATCCATCTCTAGTTCCAGTTCCATCCCTGTGACTATCAATCTATCCATCTCTAGTTCCATCTTCTTAGAGTTCCATCCCTGTGACTAAATCCTTTCCACTTTCCAGAAAATCCCACCGTGGTGGCGATGGTGTAGCTGGCTGTGCCCCCCAACTTGGACGCTCTATGGCCTCCTAGCTTCGCAGCTGGGAGATGTGGAGACGCCGATCGAAGTTCCTGGACAGAGCAAATCATCCAGTGTGAAGAATTTCATTCGCGACTACTATGGATACCAGGAGGAAGGCCTGCGATTCGTGGTATTCATGCACATCGTCTTCCCGGCCGTGTTTGCGCTAGTATTCACAGTGCTGATCACATACGCGAAATTCCAGAAGAAATAGATCGCTCCCAAGAACCCTAAAAAAACCTAGCCGTTGGGTTAATCTCAGCCGTCGACTGTCCGGAAGTTTTGATTTTGATTCTTCGTAAGTTTACACGAGATTTTCTCTCAAACGTTTTGCTTTGAGGTTCAATCGTTCCCTCGTAGAGATCATTGGGAGGCAAAAGAATATAGTTCATATCATTGGGGACTGCGAGCAACAAGATGGATCGTCAGAAGAAAAGAAAGAAAGGCATAAGTAGACTTACCTTAAGCGGAGGAAGAGCGGAGACTGAGTCTGCCAGGCTCTTGAAAGAATCCGGATCCAAGATCGCCATGTTTGCCAGTAGCTTGCGATTGAGCTCCACTTTCTGGCGATTGAGCCCGTGCATGAATTCGCTATACCCAAGCTATCCAGAAAGAAAGACAAAAGAGTCAGTCAGCTTGGCCCAAATTCTGACGAGAAGAAAATGTGGAGGAAAAAAAGAGAACTTGTGAAGAAGAACTGTGAAGAATGTGGAGAAGAAATAGAGCTTTGATAAGAAGAAAAAGAAACTGTGAAAAATGTGAAGAACAAATAAAGCATTGATAAGAAGAAGAAGAAGAAACCGTGAAGAATGTGGAGAACACAGAGAACTTTGATAAGAAGAAGAAATTGTGAAGAAGAGAAGACGTGGAGAAGAAATAGAACTAAGAAGAAGAAGAATGTTGAGGAAGAACGCCATTCTTACCCCGTGGAGTCGAGCAGCAGCCCCAATTCTCGTGATCCACAGCTTGTGGAAATCTCTCTTCTTCCTCCGCCTATCGCGATACGAGTGCTCCAGGGCCTTGGCGACCCGATCTCGCGCAATCCTGTGCACCTTCTTGCCCCTAAATCCCTTGGCCAGCTCCAGCACCAGCGCCTTGTTCCTCACGACCTTGCCCCTGCCAGGGTATGGCCCCAGCTCCTTCTTGCTCCTCTCCAGGATCTTGCGCGCCTCCTCCTTGTCGCTGCTGCTCCGCCACGCGCTGCCCGTCTTGCTGCGCGAGCATCGGATGATCGCCGCGCCCCTGCCGCCGCGACTCGCCGCGCCTACCCTGGCGCTGGATTTGACCTGATGCCGCTGGCACAGCGATGCCGCGCCATTGCCGAATGTAAAGAACGATCGCGAAGAGGAGAGCAGCATTCTCGCCCTAGAGAAACCTATCCTATTTGCTCCTGACAATAAGATTTAACGATATTCTCTTCTTTAAGAACTTTACGAAATCATCTCCAATGCTCGTTCCGTGAACTCCGGAGGAACACGAAATCTATGGGATGATCCAAGTTGCGCCTGTACTTGTCTGGAATGCAAACTAAGGACCAAAGCTAGGAAACGAAGAAAAGCATAACATTACCAGTTGTTTAGCGGGCCGCGCGTAAAAAAGACGCTCGCACTTCTTGGCGGCAAGCTGCACACTTGCGTCCCTCATGTAGTGATGGAGTTGCTCGCGAGAGAGAGCCACTCCGAGAGCGTTGAGCTTCGGCAGGCATTCGTCCAGCTCGTCCTCTATGACATCAAAAAAAGAGAGAGAAGATCGTCAAAATAAATCACAAGTTCAAGCGAAGAAAAGGTTCTTAGAAAAGAGAAGATCAAAATAAATCGCAAACAGAGAAAAGTCCTAGAATGTGTAACATCACAAGCAAATCAAGATCGCAAGCATACAAGTCCACACTTCACACTGCCGAGTGAAGAGAAAAACCCGGGGAAAAACCAAAGCGTGTACAAGCTCAAGAAAAAAAGAAGAAAGCAAGAATCTTGAGAGTGAGCATACCAGTGAGGGGAATTCTTGCCAAAGAAGCCATTCGATATTTCAGCGTGAGCGGATCCTCTACAGCTTGCCGGATGATCTTGTTCCTCCTCGCGAGAAGAACCGGGAGCTGGAGGTTGAATGCCACGGAAGTGGCCAACGCCGGAAAGTAGAGGACTAGCGGAAGATCGAAGAAATCCACGGCATCGTACACGTATCCTGCGAAGTAGTCGGCAACCACGCACCTGATCGCCCCAGATTTCGCGCCCAATCGCGAAACCAGATCGGAGAAGCTGCGACTGAGATCGAGGATGCGCTGTGGGGATTTCAAGATGTCGGCACCCCGCTGCGCTGTCAGGGACTCGAATCGCAGCCGGCCTTGATCGCTAACACCGGCGTGAAGCTCTGGCGAGGGAGTGACCACGGTGATGAGAAATCCGTGGCAAAGGAGGCGCTTTGCCAGATGGAAGAGAGACCAGAAGTGAGAGGCACCACCGTGCGCGCAAAGAAGCAGCAATGGCGACGAATCGTCGAGCTCCATCGCCATCGCTAAAACCCGTTCTTGGACGCGATGAGCTGACGCATCGGGACGATGTGAATGCAGGAAGCTGGGAGTCTCAAGAAACGCCGAGTAGGAGACGAGCAAATGAAAGTCGGACCTCGACTCCACCAAGTACATGCCCTGTCTGCGTCTGGAATCGTTGCAGGGAGTCTCTGTGAGTGGATCATCCATGACTATCAGAGTCTTCGATTACTTTGTCCTCTCGCCCTTCTATGATCGCTCTTGCTCCAATGAGCAGCGCTCTGTCCATCCCCTCGACATGACCCAGCTCTTGTAAGAATCAAGCTCCTTGTTCTTCCTTCGCAAGAGATTTCTCTTCGTTTTGTGCTGTGGCAGGAAGATGACTGGAGTGGAGTAGGAGCCCAATCTCTTTGTCCTCCGCAAGCAAAAGTGCGAGAGTGGCCATATCTATCAACCACGCTGCTCTACAGCGTTGTTTGCAACAGAGTGGTAAGTCGCAAGGCCTTTTCTTCTGCTGCTTCTGATGGTCCGCCCGTTTGATCTCTAGGCCCGAGCTGTGCATCACATCTCCACTGCCTTCTCCCAAAGGGTTTGTTGCTTTTCGTCTTTCGTCCTTGTCCCTGACTATGCTCTGATGTAGACGATGAGAATGAACATGAGAGCGATCCCACTGGCCGTGTCGATCTCAAGGAAGTCCTCCGGATCGATCAGATACTGGGAAATGTTCTTCGCAAGGTGAGCCTTTCGTCTCTTTTTCCTGTTCATGTCTTGGTCTTGTTCTTTCCAGTTCAGCTTCCTCCTCCTCATGAAGAAGTTTGCGAAAGAACTTTCTCATATTTGGACTGCTAATGTGTTTCAGCTTAAAATGGCTTTGGAGTATCTTCAACCAGCTTTTGGAGGTGTCATAGTGGATGTGAGCTGACCGAGAGATGGCCATTGGACGTTAGAACACGAACTTCCTGTAAGCTTCTGCGCTATATGTACTCACTAGCAAACTTCTGGTTCAAACAGGTTGGAAGACACAAGTACATGTGATTGATAACGAGCTATGCATTCACAATCCTCACGTTCCTATAACGAACCCAGACAGAAAATGCAACTACAAGAATTATATTGAGGTATGCTATGATTCTCTGATCATCCAAACTAAAGTGTGTATGTTTTCCAGGGGACGAGTGTGGCATTTACCTTGGAAGGAGTTTTGACAATACCCTGACAAGTACTGTTAGACTCCTTCCAGGTAAGAATAAAGAGGAGGTTGTCAAGCAGCTGCGCTATTATTCAAGGCTCCTGGTCACGGCACTTCCAGTAAGTAATTTTGTATAGTGTTTCTTGCATGTTCATTCTTAACTCGTTTATTCAAGGTTTATGTAATCCAAGAGTATGCACGACTTAGCATGACCTCTCTCCCTGGAAGTTCCTTCTCTTACGCTGGCTCACTGTAAGTATCACTGTTACGTTTTCTCTTGAGATATGCAAGCTCTTTACACTTGGTGTTTGTTTTTTCAGTGCTCTGGCCGCGATGGGATTTGGAACTCTAGTTTTGTTTGTTTATCAAAACTATGGTTTTTCCTCAGCTTGATGACCACACCGGGCCGCAGTGTCACTGGGATGGAGCTAAGCGAGCAGGCAGGCAGGATCCACTTACATTGTCCAAAGGAGGTGAAGCCATTCAAGAGGCTTCACTCTCGTCAAGTGTCAACTCAATGGTAAGCTTCGAGATATTTTTCCATTCATTCGTTTGCTAAGTGACGATCATCACAGGTGGAGCCTTGACTGCGAGAACGTTTCATCAATGTGGATGCTCGTGCTGCCACCGCCCACCCAGCACCACACTGGCCCGCCCCCGGCCGCGCCGCTCTGCCGCCACCGCCACCGCCACCGCCGCCCCGCTGCCCTGCCACCGCGCCCGAAACTAACTCGAAAATTCTGGCAACTGCAGTTCTTGTCTCGAAAATTCATCTTAGCATAAGTAGTTTCGCTAAATAATGGCCCATGAGAGTGTGAGGGTGTTCGAGACTCGAGAGTGTACAAATTTGCAGCAGGGGAAAAAATCCAAGGATGAAGAAATGTCATGCAAAATCAGAAAACATTCTTCTGCCATAGCCGCATGTTGACGAGCGCCAAAGGGAAAAAGGTGTGTGAGGTAATGCAAAATGCTGAAACAGCACAGCAACAATAGTCTACTTCGAGCAGTAAGTGTCAGAGTCAAAAGATTTATTGTGACTTTTTACCAAAATGTAACTCCTCTTTTTTTCTTCTTACTTCTTTTGGTTGGGCTTAAACTTTACATGGCTTTTCATGTTGTGCAGGGCCATGTGGACTCAGAGGAAAGCTGATACTAGATGGACGAAAATTTTAATGATGAAACGAGTAAATTGAAATCACTATATTTTGACAGACCCCATATATACGCCTGGGAAAAAGGTGTAGGGTTTAATGGAGAGCGTCTGCGATGACGGCGAGGAGCGCTTGCGGGATCTTTGCGGGCCTGACTATGAGCGCCTTCAGCGGCAAGGCTATTCGGCCTCCAGGTTGTGGACGGCCGATGTAGATGAGGTTTTCGCCTTGTTTCCAGGAAATCCTCATCTCGCATGCCGGATATATAAGTTGTTCAACTGTAAGTTCTTTCGCTGTTTCTTTAGGCTACTGTTCTTTTTGCATTTCCTGTGCAGTAGAGGCTCGCAGCAGCAAGATCATGGACCTAGTGGCAAAGAAAGAAACACGAGACCCCAAGCTGCTACAGTGGATAAAGGAGAGGTTGGAGTATGTTTCGTACGAGTGGCTGCGTCAATGTGAAAGGCTCCTCATGCAGAAGCCGATAGGTGAAAGTTCTGTGTTTTCGTCTGGTGCTCGAGTATTCTCTTGCTTGTGCCTGTGCAGAGAACACTAGGCCTGATCGTGATCGTTTGTGGCACGAGATTAATACGAAAGTGGCGATGAAATCGTTACGGAGGGAGTACGTTGGGGAGGCCCATAAGATATTGTACAAGGAGCTGTGTAAGTTGAGGAACGAATGCTCAAAGAGTAAGTCTTGAATTCTTCTGTTATTGTGGCTTATAGCACTGGCTATTGTGTAGACGAGCACTACAGCTGCTATACCTCCATAGTACAGGGTTCTGGCACGGGGAAAACACGCGGGGTGATGCAGATGTCGCGCCTGGGAGTGTATATTTGCTATTGCAGCACGGCGGCAGCAAACAGTAGCGCCTGTCCTCCTCGAACTGGGGAGCTTGCCAACCAGCTCAGCCGAACGAACAGTGAGTTGGAGATGGCGCTATACTTCAAAGCATGGCTTTTTGTCCTCCATGAGACGGTGAAGGGTGAGAAGATGAGCTCAGTGCAGTGGATGGATTCACAGATGGATTCGTCCAGTATTGCGGAGGCCGTGCACAAGAAATGGCTTGAATTGATCAACAGCAGAGCTGTAGAGGAAATTAGTGAGTCACCGGATGACAGGAACGAGAATCTACTCCAACGAGAGTTTGAAAACTTGAAGGATGTACTGCCGGAAGAGGGGGAGGTGCAGGTGCTTTTTGTTTTTGATGAAGGTCGTGGTCTCTTACCGAATGGGGAAAGCACCTTCGGTATGGCACAATCGCCGTTTTACCAGATGAGGCGAGTGGCGAGAGCTTTCTTCACACACAAGAAATACTTTGCAGTTGTCATTGATACGATGGGGAGTATCAGTAATCTGCAGCACGAGGACCAGTCGAGGAAAGCTAATATCCTGGGACGGCACGAGGACCAGTCGAGGAAAGCTAATATCCTGGGTTTGCGGCTTTTAAGGCCTATTCATCAGGTGGTGAATATGGACCTTGTTCCTCGGACTACGGATTTGTCTCCAGCTCAGTTGTTCAGGTATGGAAGGCCCCTATGGAGTAGCCGCCTTGACAGCAATCCAAATGTGTGGAGCCTCCTCGATCTTGCGGAAGCCAAGCTGGTTGGGGTGCTGCACGGGGACTTTCAGGGGCAAGCTGTGGACGTCTGTGGTTCTACCGGAAGGGTACAGATGGCTGAGAGCCAGGCGTTGGCCTTGCTTTCAGCATCAGCGGGCCTGGAGATATGCCCGCGGAGTGCGCAAAGCCAGCTTCTTGTCGCTTCTCACATGAGTATCCTTACGTTCATCTCCCTCGATCGTACGAGAGTGCATATCAGTCAGCCCGTGGAGCCCGTTGTGAGTGAAGCGGCCGCTAGGATTCTCAACCGCAAGAGTGGCGAGCCTCTAGAAGTTGCTCTAGGGCTGTTCCTGAACGGCTGCTACAATGGCTATGTGGATGCTGGACATCGGGGGGAATTCATAGTGAAGCTCATCTTGCTGCAAGCTTGTTGGAGCTTGTACAAGGGTGACTACTACCTACGCCGCATTCCTCTCCGGGATTATATCGGACGATTGCTGGGCTGGGAGGAGGCACAGGTTGACGAGGCATGCAGCGGCCTGGATGAATCCGCTGCCGTCTTTTTTAACAGTTTTATGCTGGTTAAGCAGGGGCAGTTGACACCCGAGATCTTGGCAGCTGCGTTCATGAGAGGCTGTGCAATCATGTACAAAGCCAACAATAACGTCCGAGGTTATGACATTGTTATTCCGGTCTGGACTTCCTTGGGGATGACTGCGCTGCTCGTTTCGGTCAAAAACAGTAGAAAGTGTGGGTGGCTCAACAAAGCTTCTACGACTGTGTTGAGGCCGAGGCTCATGCAAGTCTCAGGAATCGAAATCAAAGTGGTGACGGTCCTCATCAATGTCCAAGAACCAAACCTTAAAGAGCCAGTGCCACCAAAGTTATGGAAGAAGGATGAGATGCATAAGTCTTACTTGCAGGGTGACGAAGCTTATGGCAAGAAAACGGAGCCTGTTGCGCACATAACAGTTTATGGTCTCGAACGCAACTTTCGTTTCCTTGGTGCTAAGACGAAGAGACTTCTAGCTGAACTTTCAATTGCGGTGCCGGATACGGAGGTGGAGGCTGGAAAGCAATCAGAGGAAGCGAAATCATGGCTCCATCTGCTGCTTCCTGACATGTATAAGCTTCCAATTCCAAACGTCTCTGACATTAAGGAGCTTGGTAAGACACATTCGTGATACGCTATTCCCATGATATCATAATGTGACATTTCAAGTTTACAGGTGATCCGCGACAGAAGCGCCCAATAGATGCCACAGAGAAGTTTGCGGACGATTTGCAACAGAAACGCCCAAAAGTTGCCTGAGAGAAGCAAGATCGTGGCCAGGTCGTTTAGAATACTACCTATGATTCGGGTTATGTTGCAATGGTTTTGCATAGATATAGGATTATTAAAAGCTTTTATTTTATTTTAGAAAATCAATTTAGCTTTTGGCTATGCAAATCACATGAGAAACAACACTCAACCATGAAGCTCTCCTTCTCACCAAGATCCCTAACACCACGATTTACACATAAATTTGAAATAGAAAGCAAAATGCATCCTGGAGCTCACCCTGAGAAAAACAAAATGTCAATGAAGGAGAAAATGATGGAGCTTGTAACTGTCATGACACAAGGCTTGCAAAGATGCAAAGCAATCATGGCCATAATAACCCTTGCGAAGGCTATGGCCATAGTTGTGAGGCTTCACCGTGAATTGTGAATTGTAATTGATTTGTATCTAGGGTTTGACTAACTTAAAATATCTTTAAAAGCCCTTTAGATCCATATATATAACTTATATACTATCTTTGTAACTTGAGTTCCTTTACAAATGAAAATAAAATTGCTGCATGTTGAGTTGCAGCAACGCTTGGTTATTTTGTTTTTAAATATTTTTTATTATGATATATAATTTATTATGATCTGTCTAGTATGCAGGTGCTATTCCTGCTTCTGTATATATTATATCTTTTACCCATATATGATCTATTAGTTTCTTATTATGTGTATTGTCTTTTATTATTTGTATATATCCTTCTTTCTTCATTAGTAATATTGCATATAAATGACTATAAATCAGAAAAAGTAGAACATTTAAAAATAGAAACAATGGTAATGTCATATACATCACTAGAAAAAAATTTTAAAAACAGAAAAAAAATTTACATAGAAAACCTGGAACAAATATATAAATATTCAAAAACAACTACAAAAATATATACAGAAAATAGATAATAAAAAACTAGTAATATAAATTGGTTCAAATAGTTATTGTTGTGCTCTCTCAAAAAATTTTCTTTGGTTGGACTAAAACAATGCAAATGCAAACTCAAGGTTTAGTTAAAAATGAGACCGAAAAGAAAACCATTAAGGACGAAAGATCAAACACGTAAATAATTTTTTCTTCTTGGAGAAATGATTTGCAATAAGGTGTTAACTCATTACTTATATTTACATTATGCAATCAAGAGTCCCTACTTTGATGCATATTAGTTATAGTGGTCTTACAAGTGGTGAGTCAAGGGATGAATAGTGGTGAAGCGTTAAATCATTTTGTCTAAGCTTACTATTGAAGATTTAAGTTGCAATGGTCAATTCTTTTTCAGGGAACCTTGGTATTACTCCTTGAATAGCTTGGTGTTGAATTAGTTTTGAGTTTGGTAAAATAGAGAACGACATGAACTTGTCCGTGTTATGAATAAAAATTAGTGGTGTTGGGTGTTGTAAGTCTCTATCAATGGAGTGTGGTATTTATGTTGCATTTTGTCGAATTGAGTTAACACTTGATACTCACATTAAACCTTTAAAAAAATGACATTAGCATTATTCGTGGTGTTGCTTGATTGATGATTATGATTTTTATATCATATTCATGTGATAATAAGTAATGTGTTTACGAAGTTGCTTGGTTAAATGATGATCAACCCCAAAGTGGTTGATGGTGAAGTTAATCTACTTATATATAGTAACAATGAAGTTGGATTCTTAATGGTGGTCTATTATGCTAAATTTAAGTTAATACCTTGGTTCTTAAAGGGTTTAGCCATTGAGGTGTTAGAAAGGGTTGTAGCATTAATTTGCTATGACTTGTTGGTGAATCTGTTGCACTTGGAGTAGATTGCCGGATGGAAAATGTGTGTAATTGAGGCATTGACATTGCTAGCACTTGTGTTAGTGGAAATGGCATTGTTATTTTGAGTAATGAGGAATTTTCCTTAAATCTTGATTTTCCATGTCCTTTTTTTTATTAGTGTTTTGGCTTTATGTTGGATTTTGAAGGTGGTTAAGAAAGAGTGTTAATGCAATGTAGGTATCCGAAAATATGGTCTTTGTGATTAAGCCTTGGATGTTCATTTTGCATTTTTGCGGATGTTAGTCTTGGATATAAAAAATATGGGTATGATGTTTGAAACTTAAGCATACTATGGGTCTTGAGAATTTGTATTGAGGTGAAACTATGTGAAGTTGTTAGTAGGAGGAAGTTGGTTGAGTCTTGAAAGTTTGCATTCCTGGATTGAGGGTAATTCTTTCTCTAGGATGGAAAATTTTCCATAAATTTTTTTAGGCTTTTCCAATGGTTGATTTGTTGATCACTTTGCTCAAAAACCTTTCCATTTTTGTAAACCAGTACAAACTAGTGAAATGGTTGGTGTTGACTTCGGTTGGCTTAAATTTTAATACAAAGTTTATATGATGCAACTCAAAAAAGATGCTAACTTTTGGGGTTAAAGCAATTGAGTGGGATAAAGTCTGGAGTTGGTGTAGAAAAGTAGCCGTTGCATTTTTTTAAGAAAGGTGACCCTATGAGAGTAGTGAGCTCTCACTGATTTTAACTTAGTTTTGGTAGCCTTGCACTTGGCTGAGGATGATGATATCCAACTTAATTGTTTAAGGTTGAAATGTTAGTACCCATACTATAGCTTTGTCTATGAGGAGGTTGTGTACCAATATGAGTCCATCTCATGGTTTTCACTTTAGTTTCGACTGAGTGTTGATTATGCATTACTAGCCTCTTCAAGGCATGCTCAGAGCTATTGATTAGATGTATTGGTGAGCTTATTGCAGTTGAGTTGGATTCAAATAGTCATTTAGTTTATGTTTGTCCATGAACTTTTATCTCGTACCTGGGGTATTACATTTATGTTGGGCAAGTATATAACTCGATGACATAAGTTTAATGTTTGGGTCTTATGAAAGGTAAATTGACGAGTGATTATTAGTTGCTTTGTGACTAGTGATTACTTGTAGACTTTGTCAAAGGATTATTAATACTTGCTTTGTTAGATGATAATTTAGCAATAATAGACTTGCTTACTGGATGGTGTTGCGGAGGATTGTGTCGTTAGACTTATATGGTTTTTCCATATTAGTATGTTGACTCTACCTCTGTCGATATCATTTGGTTATATTTAGTCTGTGGTATTTGATTTCATTAAGTCTTGGATGTGGTGATTCACTTCTTGATGATGCATTATCTGTAGCTAAGTATTGTTGAAGAACTGGTCTCAGATACTAAGTATAGTATCTTTGACTTTAGTTAGTTTGGTTGCTAGAAAGCTTTGAGTGGCTATTCACTTTTGCTTTCTTCTAACTTTGTTTTGGTGTTGATGGCATTGAAGTGGTGCCTTATCGTTGACATTGTTGATGTTGAGATTTGAGTGAAGTGAAATATCTCTCCATAAGATTGATATTAAATTTCATTAGTTTCGATGCAAATAATGTTGATACTTAGGTTGTAGCTTTGTGTTATTGGTATCCATGCATTTACTAGTTAGTAATTGTATTGATGTTCAAATGAACTAAATGGCAAGTTGAGTTAGTTGTGTTTTAGATGAGATTGCTTAGTAGGGGTTGAGCTTTGGCTTTTCCTTGAAAGTGATTAGTCATGGACTATACTAGCATTACAAAGGAAGAGTTAGTGATCGATATTAAAATGTTTAAATCCTTTTTTGAATTTGAGTTGGGGATATATCAATCATTGATAGTTTTTTTTGTGCTTATTATAAAGTGAGTTACATCTTGCTATAGATGGATTCATGGAAGATTGTTTAATGATCACTTGTTAAGTATAGTTTTGTTATACTTAACTTTTGGATTGATACAGATATGCTCTTCATTAGCTTTGGCATTATAAAGTTTAGTTTATGGCATTATAAAGTTTAGCTTATGAATGTGTTAAGGAGGATATTATGGGTTGTCCTATGATTTCTTCTTTATCATTGAAATTAATTTATGTAAGATTCGTGATCATTGTTATGCACAACTTGGCTATAAGTTTTTTCGAGCTTTGGTTCTTTGAGTTTTTTATGCTCATTGTTCCATTTGTTAAAAGTTGTTGGGGAAGTGTCGCAAATGTGACTTCGGGTATCAAAAGTTACTTGTCAGCCAATCCTTATAAAAACTCTTTTTTTATTGCCACAACAGTAAGAGGTCAGTATTGCTGGACCCTTTATCAATGCCTTTTGTGTTAGTGGAGTTAACTAGGCATTTTGAGTGTACTTAGACCGGACGAGCATAAGGACGGAATTCTTACATGCCATTAGCTAAACATACTTAGCCCAGTAAGGAGTTCCTGTATTGTTGTGTCTTGCATTGGCTAATGACAAGAACCCTCGCGTATTGAGACTAGTTATATCGCTACATAATAGCTTACCGTGCTTGCCAAACACCCTCGCTATCATGCCCTTTGTGTTAGTCTCATTCTGGTCCCAAATGCTATTTATGGAAAGTGTCTAGATTTGCTTATTTGGCATATCTACAGAATGTAGAAATTGTTTTGAACATAATGGTATTCATCCCATGTCCAAATTCATAATTTAGAGACATTCCATATTTAGTAAGTTTCGAGTTTGTCCCAAAGACTAACTCCTGGTACTAAGGGAGGCTTAGGGTGAAAGCCTAAAGCGTGTGTTTCTCAGGGGGGGGGGGGGGGGGGGGGGGGGGGGG